TCTCTCTCTCTCTCTCTCTCTCTCTCTCTCTCTCTCTCTCTCTCTCTCTCTCTCTCTCTCTCTCTCCCCCCCCCTCTCTCTCTCTTCTTTCCCAGATTCCATCGTCTCTTTTCTCCTCCTCCTTTCTCTTCCACTTTTACCCTTTACATCTTTCCCTCTTTGTTTCTCCCTCTTTTTCTTTTCCCTTCTTGGCTCGCCATCCGACGTGCTATTGAACCGTCCGATTTAATCCGCTGTCTGGCGAAATTCCGGGATTCTCCGACGTTTCCGCGCTTTCTCAGAGTCCTTCGACAAAAACATTCCATAAATTGTATGACGGTATTTTTTTTTAATTTTATTTCACCACGGATTCCTCAAGCAATTTGTGGTCAAATTAAACTGTCCTTCTCTTTTTATGCAAATCATATCGCGACTATAAAGGATGGCTCGCGAATCTTGTTCGCAAGTGTCACGCGTTTCAAGACATCGCGTCGGCATATCAGCTCGAATCTCCGCCTGGTCGCGTTAACCCGGGTTTAGAGTTAACTCAATCATCTAATTACTCTACGACCAGGGTTAATTGTCCCGTTAGCCGCAGCTACGAGTTCGCCGTTCGTGCCTTATTCACGGTCGCTTCGTTCTCGCGTGATTTTTCAACCAAATCCTCGGATATGTTTGCAAAGAAAATAAACGGAACATCACATAGCGATCTAATCTTCTTTGTGTCAATATCCACTGACGATTTTTTCAATTTGGAGCTGACTTTTCTACAACGGTAATTTATTCGATTATAATTTTTTTCCGACTCTTTGTGTATCGCATACGAAATTTGAACAATTTTTTTTCTCTTTCGCTTCTCCCATTCCATTCGTTTCTCGAGTCGTTTCAAGCACCGCCTCCGTTAGAATTGGTGCCGTCGCGAGGCTCAAAGTTGCACGATTGTGAAAGGAGGAATGGCGCGGATTTTCCCGCACTGCGAAATATACTTCGCCATCGTGAGTTCTTCGGCGATGAATATCGAGAGTTTCTCGCGATGATGGCAGCGAGAACGCACTATGCAGACACGCAGCGTTACCGAGAACACGTAACACCGATGGTTAGATCCGAGAACCAATCGATTCCGAACAATTCACGAAGAGCGGAGCATTCAAGTTGCTCCAGCTCTGAAAACGTTAATTAATTTGATTATCGAAACGTTTAATAATTCTATCAGAAATTTATGTAGAAAATTAATAAATTACGCAATATCGCGTAAACAAATTTCTTTGCGATATATCCGTGTACACGTTATGTATCTCGGTCGAGTTATTATTTCGTGCATCATTTTAATACGGTCATTATGGTGGCGTGGCGCGCAACGAACGTCAATTATGCGCGTGCACATTACGCGCCACCTTCGTTACGGGCAAATTTTTTTTGTGTAACCTTAAGACCATTCGACGCTCGAACCTGATGAATAAAAATATCGTTACACGAATGTAACGGACTTTGATCGGCGTTAACCTTGATCGCACTCCACGTGCACGCGACAATGACTGACGCATGCCGCTTTACACGCCCTGATCGTAGATGATTACGGAGATTGCGGGAATGGAATTACGATATGCTCGTTTTCAGTCGCATAGCGTATATTCGCGTATACTCGGAAAGGACGATAACGATCGTTTCGAGGTGACGGGCCTCGCCGGACTCGTGGGATATCGCGCTCGTGATACGTGGAAGAATCACGGTCGTTGGACGCCCCATTGAAATTTTGGGGCCCGCGTGCGGTTGTGCGTGCGTGTGATGTCTGAATACCGATGACGGTGCATCGACGTTACGATCTCTCTTTGGGATGAGAGCATCGGACGATGTCGCTTCAAAGTAACAGAGGAAAGGAGATCTATGAGATACCCATCATACTTGGACGTAATTCCTAAAGAGAATTAAATTTGGAATTTGTACAAGATTACACGAATTCCCGTTTGAAATTCTGTGCGTATATTCCAGCGATATACAAGTCACACGCACGCACAGGAACTTTACATCTTTCGCGGCAAACGTCACAATTAAATCTCGAGTTTTGTTTGTCATACTTGGCGATATCATTTCGGCGTTCGACTCCGTTTAAACAGCCGCATAATAACAGGCAAAGGTCAAAGAACGCACTCGAACGTGGCGCGATATCCTCGCATCTGATGGCACAGAGAGTCGCAAAGAGAGGCGGAGGAGGAAGAGAAGATGTGAGAGAGAGAGAGAGAGAGAGAGAGAGAGAGAGAGAGAGAGAGAGAGAGAGAGAGAGAGAAGTCGTTCTCTCTCGTCTCTTTCGGAGAGACATTTAGCCGACTCCGATATGCGCGCGAGATTTCCATAGCCGAGCGGAGAACCAATCCTCCTCTTCTTCCTTCTTCTGTTCCCCTTCGCCCTCATTGGTGCATGACCTATCCCCCGGTGGTAATTATGGCACAGTTGCGATTCTGTTGCGGCCTAGCCACAAAGTAGAATGCACGATCACGTGGGCGCCGCTCGCCGGCGTTCTTTAGGTAGTACTCGTTCCTAGGAGTACACCTTCGTCTCTCGCGAATAATCCGCGCGGCACAGTTCGGCTGGTTTTCCAACCCCTTTGGTCCCGTTTTCGTCCTCTTCTCGTCTCTACCTTTACCATTACCTTCTCTCTCTCTCTCTCTCTCTCTCTCTCTCTCTCTCTCTCTCTCTCTCTCTCCCCCCCTTCTCTCTTCTCTCTTATTCTTCCTCTTACGACCGCGGCAGTTTTTCTCTTTCACTCTCTCTTTTACTTTGTACATAGGACTTAATGGTATAGTCATGCAACGTCCACGGCTGCAGTTTCCCCTCTGCCGTCTCCTCCTCTCGCCTTTTCCTCGACTCTTCGTTCATCTTTCTCTACCTGTCTCCCTTACCCTTCTCTTCATACCTTTATTCTCTTACCGTCTCTCTCTGACCACGATAGAGTCACAGCGAGAGAACGACTATGTAGTGACGTATATACATGCGGATACACGCGATAGTGTGGGGTACCGTGAGCAGGCGCGCGCGCGCGCTCGCGAGCGCACGCACGCACACAGAGGAGGGTAACCTTTCCTTGACCCGCATACTGAACGGCTGTGCCGAGACTCGAACCGTGGGAACACACTACTCGACGACTCATCCCCCACCGCTCCGTCAGAATTCTACTTCCCCCCCTTCTGTCTGCCTCCTTACTCCTCTGTTCCCTCCGCGCCGTCGTCCCCGTCGGTCCCGCGCATCTCCCTCTCCCTTCCGTCAACTCTTCTTCACCGCTGTCCTTCTCCCGCTCTCTCGCATCCCGGGCCCCCTGTCCCCCACCCTTCAATGACTGCTTCTTCCCGTTCGCGCCACCTTCGGTCCCTTCTCTATCCCTTCTCTCTTTTCCTCAGCGCGCACATTCAAGCTGCTTCTCTGTGTATATTCTCGCACGTGTGTGTATGTACGTGGTGCGGAGCACACACGTGTAGCATCTTCTTTTCATTCCACCTCTCGTTCTTGCGTTATCTCCGTCCGTCCTAGTCTCTCTTTCTCCTTCATTTCTCCGTGAGGCATAACCCCCGCACGTAATGTAATGGCCGACCAGCGTATCATCCTCATCTCCTGGCATACCACCCTCTCACCCCTCGTCAGGAGTTTCATTCTCTCTCTCTCTCTCTCTCTCTCTCTTGTACCGACTTTATCCACTTTTAAGATATTTCCTGTCGCTGTACATTGCCTCCTCCTCTTCCCTGCTCCTCGTCGGTTATCCTCCTCCTCCTTCTCCGCGTATAAACCGCGAATCTTTTCTTCCTTCGCGACTCGGCCGAGAAGTCCTCGTGCCATCCTTTCCTCTCTCGTCTTCCTGCGCCTCTACACACATACACACCTTTTGATACGCCGACCTCTGTCCTTTCTTCGTTGTCTCTCTCTCTCTTCTTCTTGTAAGACCTCTTCTCGTTCACGGGGTTTCGTCGACCCTCTTCTTGCACCCATGACTGCCTTCTGTCCATCACCGGTGAAACTCTCCTCGAGACTCATGACTGACGGAAGACAAAAGAGGGCGAGAGGGGAATTGAATATCGAAGTGCGCAGACCCAAACTCGGTTTCACGATTAGATCTCTGTCAAAACACGGCCACGACAGTCTAGCCAGACCTAATAATACCAACTGCGCGTGGGTCATCCATTCATGCACCAATCTCGTTGTCCTGACGGGATCCGATATATAGTAGATATAGCTAGCAGGGTGAGCATGATTTATCTTCGAGAATGATTCAGCTTTCCTGGAAACTTGACATACCTTCGTCATCCATTTACTCCGCCGGTGGTATCCAATCATAGATAGATATGTGTGTCAGCTTTTTGATTTGTTTTTAATTATCTCGTAATCGCATCCGAGCATCACTAAGGAGCCATGTCTTATCGTGTTGTTGCAGATGCCACAACGGCTGGAAAGGCCCACTGTGCAATCAGTGCGTTCGATATCCGGGCTGCCTCCACGGTAGCTGCCAAAAGCCCTGGGAGTGCGCTTGCGACGAAGGCTGGGGCGGGCTGTTCTGCAACCAAGATCTCAACTATTGCACGAATCATAAGCCGTGCATGAACGGCGGCACCTGCTTCAACACCGGCCAGGGTTCTTACACCTGCTCGTGCCCGTCAGGCTTCACCGGCACAGAGTGCCAGACGCCGCTCTTCGACTGTCACTCGAAGCCTTGCCTGAACGGTGGTACCTGCACGATGACGGAATCGCCCTCTGTGAGCTACGTGAGCGGCAATGGTACCGAGTTATCGTTGTCCTCCAGGCAGCAGCATCGCCGTAGCTATCGTTGCACCTGTCCACCCGGTTGGCGCGGCCGACACTGCGAGACGACGACGCGATCCTGCCGGGACTCACCCTGCCGATATGGTGCCACCTGCGAGGACGACTCTCTGCGTGGCTACGTGTGCCGCTGCCCGCCCGGCTACACCGGTACCGACTGCGAATCGCAGGTCGACGAGTGCTCGCCGAATCCCTGCGCGAACAACGGCACCTGCGCGAACCTTGTCAACGCTTACCGCTGCACGTGCCTTGCCGGCTTCACCGGCGAGCGCTGCGAGATCAACGTGGATGACTGTCAGGGCGATCCGTGCCTGAACGGCGGCACCTGCAAGGACCAGGTGAACAGCTTCCGCTGCCAATGTATACCGGGCTACGTCGGCAGACTCTGCCAAGACAAGGTAGACTACTGCCTGGCGAAACCGTGCGCGAACGGAGGCAGATGCACTTCTGGGACCAACGACTATCATTGCACGTGCAAGCCCGGTTTCACCGGCAAGGACTGTAGCGTAGATGTGGATGAATGCCGGAGCGCGCCGTGTCAGAATGGCGGAATATGCCGGAACCGCGTCAACGGCTTCTTGTGCGAGTGTCCGAACGATTGGTACGGTGACACCTGCGGCGAGAAAGCCGGCGTTGCAGTGGCACCGCCAATCGTATCGCCGTCCGCGCCCGCAAACGTGCCGCTGGCAGAACCGTCCTCGGGCAAGCACGTCTCCTCCAGGAAAACCAGCTTGACCACGGAACACCTGGTGATGATCGCGACTCTTTCCACCGCGGTACCGGCCTTCGCGCTGTTCGCCGCAGTCGCGGTCATGTGCATGAAGAGACGGCAGAAGCGCGAGCAAGCCAAGGCCGACGAGGAAGCCAGGCTGCAGAACGAGAGGAACGCGGTGCATAGCAGTATGAGCAAGCGTAGCGCCAGTACCATCGGCGTCGGGAGCAATGGCATTGGCAGCGTCGGCGGCCTCCTCGGCAGCGCCGGTAACGGCCTACTCGGCACCGGCGGCGGCAGCGTCTGCGCCTTGGGCGCCGGCGACGCGCACATGATTAAAAACACCTGGACGGCGAGTAAAAGTGTCAACAACGTGGCATCGGCCGCGTCGCGGCAGGACGACCTGGACTCGTCCTTCCAGACTGACGTGACGCTCGATAGTTCGTGTTCGGGTTACAAGCCAGAGCCGGTGCTGCAGGACGGTCGGACAGCGAGGACGACGAAACAACTCAACACTGAGGCGGCGGCTCACCGTGCGTCCGCGCATCTCTTCCAGAAGGAGAAGGACTGTCTCGGCCTAGGCCTCGGTATCGGGGTCCTCGAGAGTGCCAAAAGGTCGTCCGTATTTGCCACTGGCAATGCGGCGGACAGTTGTTGCGCCGCGGAAGCCGCGCTGATGAAGAGGCCGACGACGATATCGGAAGCCAATGGTACCGGTGTCGTTAGTAGTGCTAGTAGTGGTCCACCGGGAAGCGGTGGCGGCGGTGCCACGGACAACAGCAATTGCAGTGTGTACGTGATAGACGATCATTACGTCAGGCACGACGCCACGCTGGCGGCGACACTCGCGACGGAAGTGTAGTAAACGTTTGGACATTGGATTCTCACTTGGAGTGATAGAGAGAGAGAGAGTGCGTGAGAGAAAAAGAGAAATAGAACCAGTGCGTATGCGTGTGCGAATCTTGTTTTCTCCGTGCGCGTAAATTGACAGACCACCCCGTTCGATTTCCTTCCATTTTTCTCGAGCGACGGCGACGCCTTCGTCTCGGATGCCTGCGAGTGTTTATTTCTTTTTCTGTCTTTCTTTTTTTTTAATTTTTATTACATCTTTTTGCCATGTGCTTGTGCATCAGCGATTGGCGCCGCTAGTCACCGGCGGGACTCCGCGATTGGAACATCGTTTCGAGGAGTATTGTATTGGCCAGTTTTACCAGCCACGGATATACGTCGTCCCTATTATACTGGAACGAGAGCGATGACGGACTAGACTGAAGACGTTCGATCGGGGCTGATCGAGAGGCGACAGAGACAAGGAGAAGAATTAACGCGATGCTGTGGGGGTCGGCCGGTTTCCTCGGGCGGCCGCCGACCCATCCTTAGGTATTAATATTATATCTTGCTCGAAAGTGAAACTCTGTACAGAACTAATTTATTATTATTGTTATTTACTTATTGTATTGCTGATTGCTATTAATTATTATTAATATTATCACGTCGTGTCGCATTATCATTGTTCTCGGTATTAGTTCTTTTTCGAATTTGCGTGATCGAGCTGCCGACCGGAGCAAGAATACGACAGCGATAGATCTTTCGTGTATATTATCCGTGTACGTGTGTGTGTGTGTGTGTGCGTGAAAATGAATGGAGCATGCATGCAGAGTACTCGTGCGTATGTGTGATTGCGCGCGAGAAAAGTTAACGACGGATTAGCATCTTCGGAACGACGTCGTTTTTTCGTATTCGGAATTAATGTTTCGTGCACGACCGTCTTTTCCCCCCCTTTTTATTTTACAAAGCATTCCTCTTTTCTGAGAAAATATCGTTGTGCGACTTCCGCTTGTTACAGTGGTAACGACGTTCCACGTGATAAAAAGCATGAAAATTACTATTCAAAATAACACTTGAAACAAACAGTCCCTCGACTCTTTGGGATTCTCCGTTTCAGGGATAATCCCGATCGGTCGAGTGACCCAATTCAACACCCGTTTTCCACGCCGATTTTCAACCGGCTCAAAGAAACGTTTGGAAGGAAGGATGGAAAGCGGCACATGGCTCTTAACTAAATTCCGTCCTTTTAATCCGAAAACGTCGTCATTCCATCGCGATAATTTCAGCAAACTTGATACGCGAAATTAAATTAAGTGATGCGAGGCATATAGTTAGGCAGATAGTTTTCGTAGAAAAGAAATAAGAAAAACCTAGGGAAAGCCAAGTGCATGTGTAAAGCTCACTGTGTGAACATTCTTGGATGCATTTTCGTTGAATTCAACTTGCATCTGGCGGAATACATGATGAGTGCGAAAAATGTATTTACGAATCTGAAAAATTCCAAAGAAATCGCACTGCGTTGGCCTTGTCTCAGTTAAAAAAAAACAATGATAAATTTTCTACGAATCCTATAATCAAAAGTTATTCAAACGACATTTACCGTTCGACGAAATTACTCGCGCTACGTACGACTGAAAAGACGAACGGACAGATGTGTAAATTATGCAGATGTATAAATAGAGATATATATATAAATAAATAAAGATAAATCTATATAAATGAACAATGAAGTGAGAGATAGAGATCCGGTGTCGTCGACGACAACGTTTCGACGACGATGCGGTTTGTTCCGAAACGATTTGGCACCGAAATCGGCGAGAGAGGCGAATCGTGAAAAAGCAAAAAAGTGACCATCGTCGCGCGAGAGAACGTCGGATCGAATGCCCGTCGATTAAATTTGATCGTAGCGCAATCTTCTCGTCCTGAACAATACGAATATTTCGCAAAGACGTCCAAAAGATAATCGGGATACTTGAAAGTTCAGCACTTCTTTGGAATGTCTTTCATTCTAATGTCTCTTTCTTGGGATATCTTGCGAATTGTTGCGCTGTCTTTCTTTCTAGGATTTATACTTCTGGAAAGCGAGGAACCGGCGTTTGAACTACGATTGAAATTAAGATTTCGGCGGATTTGGTCGTCTCACCCGCGTTTACTCGCGTCGGACGAACAAATCCGTGTGAAGTAATCAACTCGCATTCTCCGCGTTCATTCGTGTGAAAGAGAAAATCTAGACAAATGAAAAAACAATTCGGTTTTCGCAAAACTTTCACCATTTTCACCGCCACTAGCCGCACTTTTTCCGGCAGTACGCTCGCTGACTTCGTCCACGAATGCGTGATAGATAAGTGACGATTATTGCATGTTGATGCTGCACGTTCGATTATGATAATTATTTATTTATGACTGCTGATGACAATTTTACACGGCGTAAAGAAAAATTAAATAAATGGCCGTTAGCGCGCCGATGACAGTGATGACGATATTATCGCGTTGAAAACGCGCGTGCGATGTGCGAAAAGAGAGAAAGAGTGAGAGAAAGAATGATCGAGTGAAAGAGAGGGAGAGAATTGTAGCGAACAAAGATTCGATAATGTTCCTGTTACGAAATAATGATAATTAAATAAACGAAATGCAAGTACCGACTAAGTCAGGCTTATTTTCGAGTCTCGTTCGCGCGCGGTGGCGCAAACAGGGTGTTTTTTTTTCGCGTTTATGTGACCGTCGTTCGTGATCGGTAACGATTTTTTTTAGACAACGGCGACCGTATCTACGACATCCGCGGCTCGATCGAAGATCGCGATGAAAATCCGATCCCCGGCTTCCATCTCCCAATCCTTTCCTCCATCCCCGTCGACCCCCCCCCCCCCCCGACGACGGCCGCCGTCGCGCGCGTACAGACTCCAAATTAACGAGAAACACGTGCGTGTAAATGCGAGATTGTATTGTACGAATTACGATGTGTAATAAAGCTGTTGTCATTTTTTGTACTTACACTCCTTCCGACGATTTGATGACGTTTCGCTATCGTTGAACAGTCTCCATCACACTCCCATCCTCTCGTCCCACTCCCGTTTAGATTTTTTCAACGTTTCGAACTTTTTAGACTTTCGGATTAGAATTACTTTGTTTTTGTACCAGCGACGCGTATTCGTGAGAAAAAGGAAAATATTGTTTCCCCGCTGAGATAGTGGCCTGCGTTCGCGACGAGGCATCGACGAAGATTGTAAAGACTATCCTAGGCGTACCGTATCCCGTTTTTGTATAAAACAGAAAGAAGATAATATGCACACAGCGTATACATACACTGACATACACGCAGCACATCTGTATATTTGTAGTAGGACTATACAATTGCGATTATTATTAATTATTAATATTATTATTATATGAACCGTGTAAATAGATGAATTGTCAATATAACGATGTCACGCAAACGACAGTGGACGATTAATAATGATACATTAAAAAATGAGCTCGTCTTTTTCTCATTTCCCTCCCGCTTTCTATTTAATTTCGTTAATAATCTCCGCGTAATACAAGATTTCATCGTGTTGCGAGTGCACGATGCTTAATGAACGTAATATGAGATGTCTCGAGGAGGTTTTTAATAACCATTTCTTCGTATCGGAAGTCTAGTGTTAAAAATATCTTCGTGTGATTGAGAGTTGTGCCGAAGTTCCGTTAAAAGCGCTTGTTCACTTCGACTCAAGTGAACCGTAATAAGCTCTCGTCATTTCGACGTACGTACAACGCAAGAAAAAAACGTCTACGTGACTTGTTGCTTCTAAAATCATAAATCAATGTGAGGAGAAAAGGATTTTACAAGCACAGGCACCAGTAGAATTTAGCTCCCGTGGGAAGCGCTCAATTCCAGGACACTCTGTATTAGTGACCCATCGAGCGCCAGACTTTCGAGGCCAGGCCGATACCGGCACGCTCGTCGCTATTTCTGTGTTGATGGTCGTCATGAGCAGCGCTTAAAGAGACAGGATACGAAATATACCGCGCGCGACGACAAAGGTCGCATCGGTTTGCCTGTGTTGTACTCGCGAGAACTCGGCATGGAAAACTCGCGTTGCTGCTGCTGCTGCTTGTGGGAAGATCGGCGGGAGAAAGGGCCCGGTCAAACAGCGTCGAAAGGATCCGAGTCGCGAAGAGAAAATCACATCATCGTGGAATGACGTGAGAGAGAGAGATAGCGGTGTGTACAATTTTACGATAAGCCGTACAACTTTATGTAACTATGCAAACCGCTCGCGCTGCGCATCCTGGATTCAAGGTAGCGCGCGTTGCGTCGTCTCTTCCGGATACGAGAGATTGAAACTAGTGGCGGTGCTGCTGACGACGATGCGTATCTCGTTCTTCTGTCATCGCACGAAAGATATTGAATTAAAAGGAAATTTATTAATATAAAGAAACCACGAGGTCGGATAAAAATAAGTAGATACCAATCTAAAGATTTTTTGTAAGCAGAGCCAGGATTCTATGAATTGTATCGGAATTGTAACGATTTCAAAAGGAAGATAGGATAAGGTGACCAAATGCGGATTTGCGGAAAGTATCCGCAAAGTAACGATTTCAGAATTGGTAACTTGTAACTGTCACTAGTTACATCTTTAGCGAAAAAACTGTAACTAGATACTTTTACAAAGTAACTTTCCCAGCTCTGTCTTTTATGATATCGACAATATAGCATAAAGTGGTAAATATACAAAAGAGCAAAATTCAAGTGAATTATTAAAGCATTAAAATGTCGCTTATTAGCGATTCATGAAATTTTTAATTCTCGCCCTAACTTTCACGGAGGTAATGTCGATTCCGCGAAACGCGATAGCTGATAGCCGTCACGAGGGAAAGGGAAACTCGGCGTGGTAAAATTGGATGTCACACCCGTGTAATCCTAATAACGAACTGTCCCCCGTGCCTGTTACGAGTCCTGTGTGAAACGCGCGGCGCACCGCCGCGATCGTTGTCTGCTTAATTGCTTACTTTAAAGCACGTGTTTGTTCGTACGCGTACAAGTGCTAGACGGGTATTGCTCAATCCATTTACAAGAGTTTACTCAATTGTTAAAGACCCGACCATCGTTTCTCGTGACGCCTCAATTTCAGCAAATGCGATCATTTTCGTCTCACGTTCGTCACGCGAAATCTATTTTAGCACCGAGTAAGTAATCTCCGATGTTATCTTACGTATCGCGCGCGAGGAATTTTAATTCGAAACAAAGCAATTATGTAACGACAAGGAGAATCATATTGGCATGCGGCGCGAAGATTCCTCCGCGGCGATCTCGTTGCCCATCTTGGTGGTAAAAGGGTTGGAGTAATCAAGCTCGGGAGGCTCGTGCATTCGGTGTACCGCGGACAGAAACCGGGGAACCTCGTGAAAGCCGTCGAGAGGCCCCGCGAGTCCATCGGCCGAGAGCTACCCACGACTCATCGTGTCGTTATATACGCGATGGTTATTACCGCTGCTGCCGTTGCCGCCGCTGCAAACCCAGTACGATTGCCGTGGCATTCTTCGTGTTTGTCTTCCCTCTCCCTTTCTCTCTCGCGTCTCCTCGAGTCTCTCTCCCTCCCGCAGCTTCCTACACACCCTCGTCCTGTCTCCCGATGACAACGCTCTATCCATCCAGTCCCATCGACTTTGCTCGCCTCTTGCCCTGCCCTCCCCCTGGCAGAAGAGACGACTAGATGCTTAGCCGCCTCTTGATCGCGACTCATCTCGCGAAATCTATGTAGTTTATTACATGCGAGTAACGCTTTCGTCTCGCAGTCACGATCGACTTGAAACTCGAGCACCGTCTCTTCTCTCAGGAGGTGCATTAACACCAATTTGCGGAATCGCTGCCTGTTTTCTTCAGCTCGTAGCTCCAATGCAGTTGCTCGACGTACGTTTGTGAATTAACGCTATACGTTTAACAATAGGAGTTTGCGTAGAATTTTGAATCAACAAGGTACACAAGCAAGTCTCCTGGTATCGATGTATTTAAAATGACTCCACGTCCAAGAATCCCATCGACTGATAAAATAGATACGTAGGCAGCGCGGTATATTTCGAGTTAACTCGATCGCGTAGAGGCGCGATGTCTCTTCCAATCTAGAAGAGCAGCGAGGCGAAAGCGCCGAATTACGGTAGGAAGAGAGCCGGCAGACCGTCGCAAACTGTCGCCATCGATCAGGGATAGGGTTACGACCGGCCCTTCGCGATCGCCGTCGCGCTTCAACGACCACGAAAACCAACCACACCGTCGACATCATCCGTATCGTAGTACAGAATTCGGCGCCTCCGTCCGATCGGTCGCGCCGGATGCCGATCGGAAGCAACGACCTGAAAAATTACTTCGTGTCGTGCACGCTGATAGCTGTCAACGGACATTATGGCTGTCGTCGAAATAATCGCCTTTTTGCCTCTTTTATGCCCGTGGCTCAGACACTCCTCGATATCGAATACGAAATTTATCTCTCGTTTCGCGCCAGTTATTTAAACATTTCTTCAGTTTTATCGGTAAACGTGATCTAAAGCAACATTTCATCAAACTACGTGAAGAAAAACATTCTTGCAAAAGGACCTCGCACATTTTATATGGAACATGGCTTTCAGTTAGATTTCGCTGAAATTAATAGCGAATTTGATTACTAAACCAAACGTCAAGGACTATATCCTATAATCAAATCTTTTCCCTCACCCTATATACACACCGACGCCGAACTATACATTCTCTAATCATCACATGTATGCATTTACTTGGACAAAAATTGACTCCTAAGCAGTATGTTAGCTTCACCTCCAAATCCTAATGTTGAGGCTTTGAAGCTTTGTAGCTGCTAAACTATTGCTTTCAGGAGGTTGTGTCCATTGACACTTTTTATCGGGAAGGTGTGGGCAATAACACATTTTAATTTCAGCGAAATCTAACTGAAAACTATGATAAATTTGCAATATCCTAAAAAGATATTTTTAGAGGAAAGTCCCTTCTTATGAGATAGAATCGTAATATGGGATAGCAATTTCTGTTGAAATTAATAGGCATCGTCAGTTGATTCCACATGAATTTATGCCCTTGAAGCGAAATCTGCTTGGCGGAAAATTCATTGTTAGATCGTGTAATCGTTGCGAACAAAGATTTGCGACAGCGGTTGAGTGTTGAAAACCTGCTATCTCATATTAGAAACCTATCTTATGATAGAGGCCTTTTCTCTATTAATTATTATTTGTTTCAAGCGGAAGTGACTCGTTCCTTTCGCGTAACCGACCCGTGGCTGGCTTAAATCCGTCGCTTCATCGATGCATTTATTCTAGGTGAAGATGAGGCAAGACAAGAGTCGGAGGCGGAGAGAACAGGAGGATATGCTCAGTGCCGCCTCACGTGCTCGTAAACTCAGCACTCGGCGGTGTGCACCAAAGCGGAGGGCACAAGTGAAAGTCCTTCGAAAGACATAGAATCGAAAGAGAGAGAGAGAGAGATATAGAGAAAGAGAGATACGAGTTGACCGCATACGCGTGTGCGCGAGCGCGTGGCCTCTTACTTTTTCGCACTTGTGCATCACGCGCGGTAACGTGCACGCGTGTGCGGTGCACGTTGCATTCTCTCGAACTTGTGCGACCCGCGCACGAGGAAAAAACGAGCCGCTGCACTTCCCCCTCGAGTACAACCTCAGCGGCGAGTCCGCAGTCCGTAGCGTAATAAAATGTTAAATTATTAAAGAAGAAAGTCGCGAATACAATCAAGAGAAAATAATAACGCGAACGATCTCTTGGTCATCTTTCAGCGCTTCGGCATTTTCCGATCCACAAGCAACCGAATTCGCTATTTGTCAGTGAAAAATATCGAATTAAACGTTGACACGTGGTTCGGTAGCCGCGCGGCTATTGAAAAATCACTCTGCTAGTTTTAAAGTCGCATCTACGGCCTCTACAAAAGTGCGGGTCCCAGTCCCAAGTCTTATTAGCCGAGCAACGATTAGGCGATTTCCTCGTCTAATCGTTGCTGGACCGGTGTAATACGCAACACGCACGGTCTGGATGAAGCTGCATCGCACCCAGGTCGCGTTACGAGGCGCATCCCGCGGTATAATCGAGTTAAACGAGCGCGCATAAAAAACAAAACGGGAGCAACGGCAGTAGCCTCCTCCTCCTTCTCTCCTCTTCTCTCCTCGCTCGGTTCGGGAACGCCATGCGAAACCGTAGGGTCGGTACCGGCGAAAAAATTAATTGGGCGGATGTAATCCGACGATTCCCACGATTCGACTATGGTACCGGGCGGCAGTCTCTCTCTTTCTCTCTTTCTCCCGCCGCGTGTGCAGGTGGCGGACGATGTAACATACGAATCGACGATCCGGTCCATTATCGTCGCTCGCTCGTTCGCTCGCGCAAATCGCTTCTCGTACCTCGGGCCTTTTTAAGGCCGATCGGGCCGGACCCGCTCGCCGATTGTCCGTATGTTGTGTTTTCATCGACAAACGGAAA